CATCAGGGCTATCGATAATGTAAGCGAATTTTAAGAATCATCGCAGCCCCCTCCCTCCTGGGATGTTTGTGCTCCCTCCATCCAGAACTTCCTAAATTTGCCAATCATGATCGGCTGGAATCTACCCCCATCTTCAAAAGTCCATAAACAAAGCTACATATTATATCTGCTAGAATGGCGAATACCGCAGAGCTGTCAAAATTTCTTCCAATCTTGTGGAAATTTCTTCTACTCATGAAAAACCTCTATCAAAAATGGGCACTATTGAGCTATTACAACCCCAGAGGGGGTGAGATGGATCAAAAAAATTTTTTTCGCTGAAACTTGTGCTAATAGGGGTTATCGAGGCTCCTGATCACGAATATGACCTTAGTTTTGGCTCAATTTCTCTAGGTGACGCTCGAAATAGATGTCATCTAGGCGCTCATCCAGTAAGGGGGGCATCAAGTGGCTGCCCTCACCCCCACCCCCCTAGACTGCCTACACTCCCCCTGGCACACAGGTTTCTCGAAGTACGGGACCCCGTGAGCCAGGGGGAGTGAAGCCAGTTCAGGGGGTGGGGGTGAGGGCAGCCACTTGATGCCCCCCTTACTGGATGAGCGCCTAGATGACATCTATTTCGAGCGTCACCTAGAGAAATTGAGCCAAAACTAAGGTCATATTCGTGATCAGGAGCCTCGATAACCCCTATCACAAGTTTACAGCGAATTTGGTGAAAACACCCTTGGCGCCAATTGGCGCCAAAGGGCGCCAATTGCGCCAAAGGCGCCAATTTGGCGCCAGCGCCAAAAACTAAGGTCATATTCGTGATCAGGAGCCTCGATAACCCCCCTAGCGCAAGTTTCAGCGAAAAAATTTTTTTGATCCATCTCACCCCCTCTGGGGTTGTAATAGCTCAATAGTGCCCAAAAATGTATTAATCTTGCCCCAGTTGGCGCTCAAAGGACTTATTAAAAGATATAAGGGTGGCTCCATTTGAAACTCTCTGTATTAGATTTGGAAGAACGTTTAGGAACTCAGTTTGTGCTCTGGGTGTTTTTCAAACGCTCTAAAAACTGCCATGGGCGGTATAGGAAAGGGACGGCTGTTTGCATACGCAGCTTCAAATATAGCTTGCCAACAAGTGTGGCGCCTGCCTCGCACGAAGCCATCTTCTTCAACGAGACATTCACAGACTCAAGCAGACTGCCTCTGTTCATCTCTCGTAATAAAGGCAATCGGCTTCAGCAGTCACTGGCAATGAAAAACCAAGGTGCTACGCCAACCATAACGAAAAGGACAGTGACTCGTAGGTAAAAGTGAAGTTCGCGCTGCCATCTGAGAGCGCAGTCATAGTCGGTCGTCCGATCGTAACGACCGCACAGCGGTGGATACCTATCGATCCTATCCTCGGACACGTCAGACGATCGATACGCATTCAGTGCTGTGAGTTTGTCACGATCGAACGAAAGACTATAGATGTGACCTAAGGAAGAAGGCTGTCGAGTTTTTGAAATTGTTACTTCATCATCCACTATGGTATTCTGGTTGCAGAATCGAAATAAAATGAATCGCCACCGATCGGCGGACATACATACATTAAAACGACAAACCAAAGAATGTATATAATAAAAGATTTTGGGGTCTATTTCAGTAAGGGGGGGGGCAATCACGATGAAGTTTTCCTAGAAAGCTAAGGTAACTTCGAGCCAGGGGAGTGTAGCACAGCCTAAGGGAAAGGGGGGAGAGCAGACGTAAGCAAACCAGCCCTTTTGGCACATTCGGCTGGGACCGTATGCTGAATGTTGGGGAGGGGATGGGGTCCCCAACGGTCGACGGTTTACTTCAACTCGGTTGGTACGATAGGAGAGTACTGACGCAAGTGGTGCAGCTGGTCCAGCAGCTCCGCCAGAAGGGCTGGTTTGCTCACCCCAGGACTAAGCCTTGGAGAGGGGACGGACCCGTCCTCTCTTTAAGGCTTAGTTCTGAGGTAAGCACCAAATTGTGGCGGTTCTAAGGACCGAGTTGAAGTGGTCCGTCCACCGTCGGGGACTCCATCCCCTCCCCAACATTCAGCATACGGTCCCAGCCGAAGCGCCAAAAGGGCTGGTTTGCTTACGTCGGTGAGGCAGTCACTTGACATGCGTGAAAAGCTGGAATGTGTCGAATTCACACTAGTTCGCCGAGAAACTGCATCATGAAGCCCCCCATAACTGGAATAGACCCAAATTCTCTCGAACAACTCCGTTGGCTGAGATATACATATCAAGGAAAAGTGCGATCCTGCCAATGGACCATCCATCGACGTACGCTCGACATATGCACTATGGAAGCGGCTACGACACAGCAGTTGTAATACAAATGACAAACATTTTCTACATGACCGAAGAAGCACATGACAAACAACACCAGCAACATCTTTAGAGAGGAAATCTTTAGAGAGGAAAGGGATTCCTTTGTAGCCTCCTCTAGCCGTGATCACAGCATATGAACTAGGTAATCAATCGCAGAATCGTGGAAAAGAGTAATAAATTTGCGTTACGCGTTGCTATTCATCACAAGAGGATCAAATTGAAAACGAAAGCCACGAAGACTCGTTCTTGATAAAGTAGTAACAGCTTCCGCGCTATGTGACTCCACGAGGGGGGGGGGGGGATGGGCACTCTGTAGAAAGGTCATTAGGACTAATCAAGGAAGAGAAAATGTTGTTATAGTGAGGGAAATTATCATAACAATTACAACTGTGGTCCGATTCGCCTCAGAACTCATTGTCAGACGAACCGAACTAGGCCGACAGAGAAGGACGCACTCCAAAGAGATTGAAAATTGCTTCAGCACCCCGAAGTCCCTCATCTTCCCTGAGGCTTAGTCCTAAAACTGAGGGTTGCCGTAATTCTGTACACAACGTTACGAACTGCTGCCCACCCCGGAGCCAAGTTGGCCGTTTCTTCTGTAACGCAGATCCATTTCTTCAATCGAGACTAACCCATTCCCTTCCACTGATCCCTTGGTTGCCAGTTCAGCTCAAACTGTATACGCACGGAGCCCTACAAATTGTTCTGATTAGGGTAGCACATTTCCCTTTTCGTTAAACCAATGCAGCCGCGCATGATCCGCTGGATCAAGTAGTCCCAAACTTTCTGTTAAGACGCCGACAAGCGTGAAGAAAATTGTAACTGCTATTTTCCTCATAAACCTCAAATAAAGACAGGGGCAATGCGCCTCCGGAGTTGGGAGCAGTCGCAGAAAGGTCAGCAAGATAAACCTAGCGGAGAGGGTCGAGTTCCGGAGAGAGAATTGTTTACAAATCTCGGATTCTCTTTTGTCCTCTGAGGCTTCGTCCTGAAACTGAGCGTACCCGTGAATCTGACGCAATGTTACGAGCTGCACCCCCTCCCCGAGCTACATTGCACACAAAGGCGCTAAATGAACTGGATCGAAAGAAACCCATGAATAGCAAGAAGTGCCCAAAAGGAAGACGGATCCTTCTTTTATGCTTCCGATCACACTACCGCTGTACTATGTGGGATCAAGAAACAAGTAAAGAGCAAAGGAGAACGTTGCTGGCAAAGCCAGAAGCCATCAGCTTCAAGCGGTCCCATCCGGGCCGCTGCTTCACGAGATATTAATAAAACGACGAGAGAGCGCCGCTCGCACTTCAAGCGTCAGGAGAGTGCAGACACATAGCAAATTGGCCACGCCTCCTCACCAAGCATTCGTTGTGGGACCTTGCAGTGAAATTTGATTTGCGTCGCTCGCGCTCGCTCACAGAGTGTTCGCTGCTCCGCTTTTGTTCACGTTTCTTTTTTTTTTGTACATTGATTGTTCTGTCTCTTGTTATCGGCAGATCACGCCCAGGCTCAGAGCACCACCCCAAAAGTGGTTGATACGAAACGTCCACTCGTGAGAACTTCTTGGAATAGAGTGGCTTCAAATCGTGTTCAGCCCATATCGACTGTTATTCGAGAAATAACCGGTTTGGACTTTCATCGATTGGCGTATGGTTTAAATTAGGAAGCACAACGAAAGTGGCATACGTCTTCTTGTAACCCTAGCTCGTTTGGTAATAGGAGAAAGCCGTTTTCGGCGCTATGTGACTCGAGGGGGGCCAGTCGCCGCGCGCGGCCGTGCGGCAACAGGAAATTCGAACATTCCGGCTTCTCACGGAACATTCCAGCTTCTCACGCATGTCATGTGACTGCCCTCACCCCCAACCCCCCTGAATTGGCTACACTCCCCCTGGCTCACGAATTTCCTGTTGCCGCACGGCCGCGCGCGGCGACTGGTCCCCCCCGAGGCACATTGCGCCGGTTTTTCTGGTCGAAGCTTTCAGTGAGCCCACATCTTCGTACCGTTAAAAAACTCAAAGGTCGTGCTTTCTGAGAAATTTCGTGTGAAGGTCAGTTTCTTGTTTTGAAAGGCGGCCATAATACGCGTAACATCTAGTATGGTACTGAAGGTGTAGCTCTAACTGTAGAACTAGTAACTGCAAGGTGCTCATCTATCCAAACTAATGGAATGGCTGCAAGCAGTCAGTATGGTTGCCTTCTTCAGGAATTAGCTTGCGATATGTGAGGTGTGACTGTCGGTGGCTCAGCGACTTGGTGGTTATGCTGAAGGAAATATATAAGTATCGACTGAATGGTTGCCTACGCGCAGCATCGGCGAATGGTAATAGGCTGGTCTCTCAGCGGGATTGCTAAATCGCTCAAGCCCACAATCACCGAGTTTTAGATCGACACCTATGCCCTTGCCAGCGTAATCGCCAAATCGCACAGTTTGGGTGCTAACTTAGTTGGGGGGGGGGGCGCGCGGCGCGCGGCAGTCTGCTCACCTGGGCTCTCTCGAGCGAGACAGTGTAAACTCGAACATTCCAGCTTTTCACGCATGTCAAGTGACTGCCCCCACCCCCCCCCCTAGACTGCCTACACTCCCCCTGGCCCACGGATTTCCGAACATGCCAGGCGAGCAGACTGCCGCGCCGCCGCGTGCCCCCCCAACTAAGTTAGCACCGTTTCAATATGAAACGAACTTGCAGCCATTATAAACTTCGGTTATACGACGACGGCGACACGCAAAGATTATTGGCGAGCTTCGACCCTAAAATTGTTCGGTGATCTCTTTGTTTGTAGTTGGTTAGAACGAAGTCCGTTAGGTTGATATCGCAAAAAATTGATCGCGATCCTCAAGAGCTTCGTATTTGTGCTGGTGTACATAAAAGTGTTCCTGGCGTTTTTTTTTCTACGCAATTTTTTCGCCAGTGAAAAGTGTGGCGTGCTCGTGCCGCCGTTGAAGCGACTCAACTGATTTGCAAACTTAATCATAAGGGCGCATAGTACTGCTATGATCTTGCTCTATGCTGCTTGCGACAATGTATGTGAAAAAATTGCAGCAGGTCTCGTCTACGTTGCAATCCTGTTGCAGTTCGATACCAATAAACGACTTACTCTCAATTATATATGGTAATACTACGATATATATGGTAATTTGATCATGGCGTGGCGACATCAACATTGACTTTGTTTTCTACATTGTTGTTAAAAATTGTGTCTTCTAGATGGTTGAGAAAAAAGAAGAGGAAAAGAGGCGCCGTTCTCGCTCGGCGTCATCCAGTAGCAGCTCTTCTTCTGGAAGCTCTTCCAGCAGGTAGTACTTATTGCTTTGTTTTCTTTCGGGATACCGAACTATTTGGTTTCAGTGGTTCATCAGGATCTTCTCGCTCTTCAAGCAGTTCGAGCTCTTCTCGTTCTCCATCACCACGAAGCAAAAGGGAGGCTGGAAAGGTCTGTTATGTAAAAGTTGTTCAACCAGATGTGTGAATAGTGTTACCGCCACTGTTTGTGTTACCAGTCCGATAAATTTCAGGCGACAACAGTACGTGCTCGTTCCCGTTCGCCGCGTAGGTCACCTGCTAGGGCAAGAGCTGACAGAGGAGCAGGTACAATTTTTCTTCGGAGGGCATTATTCGAAGTCACTCATAAAATTACAGACTTCATAACCAAGTGTTTTTTGTGCTGTATTTGGTTGTGATTGTCTTGAAGTATGTGGATCATGAGTTGTTTGCGCGATTTGCTAAAATTTATTTACAGGTGATCGCCCTAGCCGGCGTTCTCCTTCCCCTCGTCGCCGTCGCGTTTCGACCTCGCCGAAACGCCGCGATCGTAGCAGCAGCCGTGGTCGCCGTCGCTCTCCTCGTCGTTCTTCGCCGCGTCGCACATCTGTCCTACCCTCCCATCGCAGGTCTCAAAGAGGATATGCTATCAGTTTGCTAGCGAAACATTTCTTCATATTTTCTTACTTTAAGGTCACCCGTCCCGGCCCCACACTTCTCCGCGAATAAGCCAGTCTTCCAACCGGAATCAGTCATGAAAGCCTAAGCAGAAGTGGCAATAAGTATTTTATATACATTCTTTATTGCTGTGTTCGTTAGGTCATCTGACACAGCCCAGTCAGAAAGCACTTGTTTCAAATGAATTTCGTTATCGTGAACATGTCTAGGAGCACTTGGCTGAAATCTTTGGAATGTATGGACTCATCAAAAAGCTCTGCGACCTTCACCTAAAGGTTTCGTATAGCTCATCCTTTTACCGAGGTTATGGATATTGCTCGGAATACGCCGAAAACGCTGAGATGCTGAGAAGGTTGTTGCTTACTTATAACACAATATGTGACATTAGACTTTCATTGGTGTAGGGTTTTCTACCTGTTTTCTTACTCGTAAACTTGTACAGCTTTCACTTTTCCTTGACTATGTGAAACAGCTCTTTAGTTTGATCTTATTTCAATGCTCTAACACTGCCGTGTAGATCGAAACCCTAGATCACAGGAAACAATTTCCAGCGATAGGATTTCCAATCGGTGGTCAATTACTCCTGACTAAATGTGTTGAATGTCTGATTATATAGGTGGAATTTGATTAATTTTAAAAGAACTGTTACCAATCTCCAAGGAGGGGGACTGCTCACAATTTACAATGGCTTTCGCCATATTTTTCCTTCAGATTCAAAGGTAATTATGTGTTGCGTTTTTGAGTCATTTTGACATCATTAGGCTAGACCCTGGTTAATTGGGCTGGATTTGTCAAGAAACTGAAAGGAATTCCAAACCTGTAGCCTTTTAAATATTTTCACTCTTCAGAACAGTCTTTGTCCTATTGAAATCTCAGATGTGTTCCCATTACAGGCTCTAAAATACTTTGACGGAGGACAAATTGATGGACAGGTGGTCAGCGTTGAACTAACGCTCAATCGCACCGCCTCTCGTCGCTCACCAGCTCGTAAAAGTCCTGTCAGAAGGAGGTACACTAACTCAGTTTGTTGGAGAATCAATTTTTGAAAAAAAAATGTGTCTTCAGTCCTCCAAGAAGACGTTCACCGGTCGGACGAGATCGTGGCAGTGGAAATAATGCAAATATGATTCCTCTCGGCTCGAGTCGTTTCAATCGCAGCCGTTCGCGGTCACCGCGCAGAAGGCGCAGCAGATCATAAGCAGGTGAGTCAGCTAAACGCAATATTTACCGTTCATGAATTTCTTGCTTTCATTCATTACTCTTTTGAAGGTGGGTCTACAGTGTGTGACTTGTTAAAATGACTTATTTTCCCGTCAGTGATAGTATAGTTCGCTTCGTAAAAGCAAAAAGCCTGGTAGGTAGATATGAATATGAGCTGCTCTCAACGCATTGTATTGTCTGTATTGTTTGTACTGTTTTGTCGCTAGTATTCTGTAGCTGCTTTCTTATGACAACAATTCAAACGAAATTGGTAATCTCTGAGTTTCCTTCTCCAATAACTACTGCTTACATTGTGGAATAATTCCTATCTGCTGGCGCTCATATTCGTGGTTTCAGTTACGCTTCCTAATGCTACTCATTCGGTGCTAACTTAGTTGGGGGGGGGGGCCACGCGGCGGCGCGGCAGTCTGCTCACCTGGGCTCTCTCGAGCGAGACAGTGTAAACTCGAACATTCCAGCTTTTCACGCATGTCAAGTGACTGCCCCCACCCCCCTAGACTGCCTACACTCCCCCTGGCCCACGGATTTCCGAACATGCCAGGCGAGCAGACTGCCGCGCCGCCGCGTGCCCCCCCCAACTAAGTTAGCACCATTTCTTTCTCACACTGAGCACCATGTGGGACCATGTGCAGCGCATGCGCTTCACACGCAAGCAGTTTATTTTTTCGCCATACGCTATTCCTTTTGTAGTTTTTTTTTACATTATTCTGTAGATCACATCATAACGTGACCATAAACGGTGTGGTTGGCTGGTTATTTATTCTGCACTTTAGTGAAGATTTCCCAACCCATTAAGTTCTTCACTGTAGTTCATCCCTGGTTTCCTTTATTTTCTCTTAAACGTGATTAAAAAAATGAGTAGTAAAAGTTAAGTACAGACCTATAACATATAGCAATATAATTTTTTAGTGGAGCAACCGTCAAAAATAATTTTGAGGTTCACTACAGCAAAAGCAACTAAAACTTGCTTTTTCGTTGCCATAGCACGTCATTTCGACCGAAATTTTACTACTGCACCTTTCGATAAGTTCAACACATCGAATATCATCGAAATTTTGTTTACATCCCGAAATTCACGGATATGGTGTGAGGCGGTGGACCTGCAAAATCGCTCTGCGCAAAAACCCAGAACGCGCGTTGTCGCCAACGTTAAGGAAAATATACAAAGGAGCGGTCGTGTGAATGATAATGGTATAGAAGTTGAGAAAATAGTTGTTCGTGGATGCAAAGAATATTCTCTGTAGTTGTCACATAAACATGAAAGTGTCGTCAGTAAATAGTGAAAAACGAATAAGTTTTTCCTCGTCTTTTTTATGAAGAGTCACGATTTTAGAGAATAGGTAAGATAACTATTGTAGGAGGAGACGAAGTGGAGTAAGGGAAGTAG